TCTATTATTATCTATTTATAATATATAATTATATATATATATATATTATATATATATATTATTCGCTCCTGCTGTGGTTATATCAATTGCTGCAGCAAACAGTCGTGAATATTTACTTACGCTGTGACACATATGAGCTACTGATTCTCTACTGCAGACGATCCGGGGGTATGAAATAATAGCCGAGCAATGATTGTATCGGAGTTAAACGACAGGTAAATATAACATGATATCTGATTGGCTTAAGTACGCGTCGAGTTGACCGAATTAAAAACAATTTGATTTCAAGAACGCCGGTTAGTGCGTGCGTCTATTAATCACGTATGCGCATTTCACTCCTAACACGACACAAACAAATGACAAGTATGTCAAAAACATGCGTGCTTAGAGGGCAACACGCAGGGGTAGAAATTAAGCTTTGAACAAGGGAGTCCAACGACTCCCTGCCCTCAAAAAGAGGGAGTCCACAGCAAAATGAGGAAATCCGTAGTCTGAAGTTCAAAATTAAAGGTTTGCTGAGAAAATACGGCAATTCCGCGAGGCCTTGCTCTGGAATGAACTAGTTAGTATAGCTGTAGCGGCCAATCTACCTTTAATGCGGATGCACTACCTTTAATTTGCTAATTGCTCTTTTGTTTAGGATGCCCAGCGCGCGCAGGGCCTTTATCATTTGAGTTGTAGACAGAGAAGCTTCTTGCGAAGTGGCCTGTATTTTCACAGATATTTTGTCTTAGCAAGAGCTTAGAGGACATATGGATCCTTGATAGAGTAGAGTGTATAGAGCAAAGTGACGTTAGTCTTGTAAGATGACTGTGCAATACTGAGTAATTCGGGGCATTTTTGTAATGGGTAATTTTGGCCTTCTTGTGATGGCCATCGTGGATTCAGCGCGGGAGTTTCTGTGCTTTGTTATATAATTGATGATGTTTATTAGAATCCCTATTTGTAAGGCAGTGCTGATTAATCTTTATATAAGGTTGTTGCTGTTACCCTGAGCGTATAAGATTGCTTGTATACGTTTATACCGCGGGGGCAGGGGAAGTATTTTAGTGTGCCTTTCTTAGCATAGGTGGCAGCACCTGGTGGGGAAATGACTACAACATGAGATTGTCATTTATAATGATTATTCGTGATTGTGTGTCTTATATGTGAATGTATGGTTTTGCAGTAGATCTAACTAAGTCTACCGACTGCTTCGATGTTGGTATTTTCGACCTGTGTTAAGAGGAAGACATTTCGGCGTCTGTGAGATTACAATAGCAGAATTTTCAGGGAGTCACACGGTAAATCAGGGAGTATTTGACTCTGGACTCGCGTTAATCTTGCACCCTGAACACTTACTCATCGTATCCGCGCTGAATGCAGCAGTGCATCCGGTATCGGTGTTCACCGGCTCCGCCTCGCATCCGATGGCGCTGACGGTCACGACGGGGTTTGTCTGGCCGGCGGAGAAGTCGTACTGCAGTACGATACGCACATAGCGGGCTGGCGTCTTCTGTGGCAGCGGTATAGATGCACTGTTGCCGACGAAGATCACGCTCTGCGCCGTCTACCGGCGGAAAAAAACGATGACCGTAATTAAGCTTCAACTGAGCAGCAGTTGGGCTGCAGACTGACCAGCAGTTATAGTTAAGCTGAGGACTGACCAGCAGTTAGAGTTAAGCTGTACACTGGCCAACAGTTAGAGTTAAGCTGTGGGCTGACCAGCAGTTAGAGTTAAGGTGAGGACTTTCTTCTTCTTCTTCTTCTTCTTCTTCTTCTTCTTCTTCTCGGGTCACTACATTACACTCGTCGTAGCCACTGCAGCACACAGGACCTAACGCAGTGGTTGAAAACCTCAAGGTCTCCAGGTCTACAGGGGGAGGACGGGAGGAAATGAAGTAACAGTTTTGCACCCTACAGGCTATGGCGTTCCCCTAGATTTTGGAGCATAATCGTAAATAACCCTAACGTGATTTTTTGGTCACTTATCCATGAAAGCTGGGTATCAGACCCACCCCTATCACACTATGGACGTCGATCCAGAGCTGCGCCCGTCGCTCATCATTACACAGTTGAGTCTGGAAATTTTGCCCTCCCCCTCCATTACGAATTTGCTCAGCCCACGGTCCTGGTCACCGAAATGCATCGCGACAACGTAGCAATATCTCCGACTAGCAGCACACATGTGTGGATTACCAGCCTGTTCTGCTTCCATCTATGACAAATACGGCATACGTATATACGCTCTCCTATGACAAATATTGTTGTATGTGTTGTGCGCATCATAGGAGTTTAGGAGCGCCATTATGAACGCAAGCAGTAAATTTCAGATGTAAAGCGGAATGCAGTTGACTCGCCAATATTTGTCATAGGAAGAATCTTCCTAGGTGTCATAGGAGAGCGTATATGCGTATGTCGTATTTGTCATAGATGCAAGCAGAACATGTTGAGATTACACACAGTATTCTTACCGAGCACTGAATTATCGGTGTCTATTTTCACACATGATGTCTTAGCCGTCTTCTTCCTGTTGAAATACATGCATGATACAGAGTCACTCAAACTCTACGACAGATGGCGCTCTCGCTCTCTGGCTCAATTTATCCGCAATACGTTGAACGAAGGGGGCGCTGCATGCAGTTTGAGAGTCACTGAGATTGCACGCGCACGCCCTCACGCATGCACGCACGCACGCACGCCCTCACGCACGCACACACGCCCTCACGCACGCACGCACGCCCTCACGCACGCACACACGCACGCACGCCCTCACGCACGCTTAGATAAACAATAATTTAATTTAAACAATGTTTGATGCTACTATATTGAACAAGATTTCTAGCAATGGAAGCACAGATGTAAAAATCTGCCTTCACAAACACGTGTGCAATCTGTTACAGCAATATACAATTGACCGCTGTCACTCGATTTTACCGCTTTTTCCCGCGGTACAAATAAAGCGAACAATTTCGTTTTAGTAACTTTAAATGGGAGTTTTGTTACTTTTGACATTTGAAATTGATACCTACATGTAAGTAATACTATTACTGAAATGTCAGACATATTTGTCGTATTATCCAGCTGTATAGCATTTACTATGCAAGAAAAAAAATTGTGTGCTTTAATATTTATGTTGATTTTTTTTTAATTTAGGGCCCCTTTATAACATATGCTACAGGCCCCACACTTGCTTAATCCGGCCCTGCTTCTAAGCACTTCTCATTCGTACTTACTTAAACATGTGTTCGTCACAGACGAATGACGAGTCCGTGCTAGCGACAAACAGGACACCCCGGCTGTTCCCTGCAAGACAATAAATAATATTTCTTGATTTATATTGCACAAGTTACATGCAAATATGTTCACGTGCGCATTACAAAGGCTGATTATGCAAGACAATAACATAGCGGCATGAGCTCATGTACATAGCTGTGGTCATGAGTAAATAATAATATATCTATTCTCTATATCTATATCTATATTCCCCACCAGGTGCTGCCAACTAAACTGTAACAGAAAGGCAACAACCTAAAAAGAAAAATAAGACTTCCTGCCTCCCGGGTATAGAATCGTATACAATCATCCTTATAACCTTCAGGGATCAGCAACAACCTTAATAAATAAGAATTAATCAGCACTTGCCTTACAAATAGGGATCTCTATAAACAACATCATCATTATATATACAAAGCACAGAAAGCTCCCGCGCTGAAATCCACGACTGGCCATACAAAAGATACCAAAAATTACCCATATTACAACAAATCCCGAATTACTTCAATTGCTACAGATTCATCTTCAAGACTAACGTCATTTGCTTATACAGACTGGCTACTCTATCAAGGATCCATATTCCTCTAGCTCTTGCTAAGACAAAATTATCTGTGAAAATACAAGGCCAACTTCGCCGAAGAAGCTTCTCTGTCTACAACATCAAATGATAAAGGCCGCACTGCGCGCTCGGGCATCCTAAACAAACAACGAGCAATTAGGCAAATTTAAAGTAGTCGCATCGATTAAAATGCGTAGATTGGCCCGCTACAGCTATCACTAACTAGTTCATATCCAGAGCAAGGCTCGCGGAATGCCCGGTATTTTCTCAGCCAAACATTTAATTTTGAAACTTCAGACTCCGGATTTCCTCCATTTTGCTGTGGACTCCCTCTTATTTGGGGCAGGGGTAGTCGTTGACTCCCTTGTTCAAAACTTTAATTTTCTACCACTCGCGTGTCTGCTCTGAAGCACTCATGTTTTTGACATACTTGTCATTTGTTTGCTGTCGCTGTGTAGGAAGTGAAAATGGCGCATACGTGATTATAAAGACGCACGCCACTAACCGGCGCCGTTCTTCGAAATCAACATTGTTTTTAATTCGGCAAACTCGACCGTACTTAAGCCAATCAGATATCATGTTATAATTACTGTCGTTTTAATACTCGATACCAAATCTTGCTCGGCTATGTATTCATACCGCCGCCCGATGCGCTCGGCCAGTAGAGAATGCAGTAGCCTCATTCATGTGTCACAGTCGTAAGTAAATGGTAGTTCACGATGTCTTGCTCGCACAATTGATATAAACCAAGCAGGAGCAAATATATATATATATATAGATAATATATATATTATAATTATATAATATATAATAATAAGAT